CAAGTAACATTGTCTATTATTTGCTATTTAAATATTACTTGTGTATAGTAAATTTAAATGTAGAAATTTTAAATTATATTTGAAAGAAATTATGCTATTTCATGTTTTAGACTAGAGCACTGTCAGCTCAAACAGCCGAGACAGATATTGTAAGATTCTTGGTAGGAACGCAGTCTTTAAAATTCAGTAACAACCAAGTTCACTTAGTGGAGCTTAACGAGGAAACAGGCAATTTAAAGACTCAAGTGTTCCAGCATTCAATAGGAGAAATTTGGTCTTTACAGGCTTCTCCAACTGAATCTGATGTATTTATTACATGTTACAATAGTTTAAGTGGTAAATAAGTCTATTACATATTTAATTTCTTAAAATAACATTTTATCATTCAAATTGAAATCGATTGTGAATTTATTATTATTAATTATATTGTTAATTTTAATAATTAATAGTTATATTAATTCTAGTATTAATAATTATATTTTATGATATTAAATGTGTTTTGATGCTTCAAAGAATTTATTTTTGTAGAGGAAGGTATCTGCCGGATGAAAGGAGCACTTTGGAAATTCCCTGAGATAAAAGAGTACACTAACGATATTCTTCAGCTCAATAAATTAGCTGATATTGATACGACTCCATATGGTACTGATCTCAAAACTATTGCCTATCACCCTATGGATAGCAAGAAAATAGTGTCAGTAGTAGATAATAATTTTGTTTTGTGGGATCTAACTGAAGGACCACGGGTATTGATCTCTTATTTTTTTAAATGATCGAAATTACTAACATTATACATCGAATTTATCCCTGTTATTTTTAAAACTGATCTTTTAATAATTTTTTTATATGTTCAGGTGACAGTAGCGGGCACTTTAGCAGGCAAGGGTCAGCCACGATTTACGAATGGTAAATGGAATCCTCATAATGGTGCTAATCAGTTTGTAACCCTGAATGATAACAATGTTCGTGGATGGGATTTTAGGAGTCCAGCCAATGCCGCTTGGTCTATTTTATCTGCACATTCGCAAATTATTAGGTAATAATGATATCGTAAAGATTGGTAGAATTGAATTCATATTATTTTCATCGTGTAACTCATTTCTCAGGGATTTGGATTTCAATGCAAATCGTCAGTATTTTCTATCTACTTGCGGTGATGATGGATACATGAAGTTCTGGGATATCCGACTACCCACGGAACCAGTGTTGTCACGTATGGAACATTCACACTGGGTGTGGAACATAAGGATTAACCGTTTTCATGATCAACTCGTTTTAACGTCTAGCAGTGACTCCAGAGTGATATTATGCAGTATTGCATCCATATCGTCTGAACCGTTCGGTCATTTGATATCAGACGAATCTTCGCAAAACGAAGAATCTTATGGAAAAAAAAAGTAAATAAATATATCAGAGTATAATTTCTTAGTCAATTCATGCATAAAGTATAATGTTTTATGTCTACAATATTTTAGATTAGAAGACGGTTTGGTAGGAAGATACGAGGAGCATGAAGACAGTGTATATGCAGTAGAATGGTCGTCTGCTGATCCTTGGACTTTCGCGTCTCTCAGTTACGATGGTCGATTGGTTCTGAATAAAGTACCGCGTAAATATAAATATCAAATACTTCTATAAATATGTAATATATTTAGCGAAAAATAATATTATACACACCTTACATTATTTTATTATTTTATTATAAATTTAATTTTTCTATAATATATGAAAAAAATATGAAGTATACATAATATATAAATGTATACATAATACCAAACATAATTTTATAATTAATAATATGTTTATATACACGTATATATGTACAAATAGAATATGTATATTCTATTTAGAATCGTTCTGATATCTTGCTAGCTATATTTCTTAATTGTCCATAAACTTTGGAAGGAGGACTGCCTAAGATTAAATTACATATCGCCCTACGAGCTAGTTGTATGTTCTGGTAAGAACCAAGGATGTGTATCTTGGTATCAGCTATCACAATTCTAGTTTTTGTTACGTTCTCAATGGTAAACTTTGTTCTTCCACCTTTACCCGCTAATCTTCCAATTGCTCTAGACTGGTGATCTCCTTTCATTTGTTGCCTGACATCTTGTATCTCGAAAGATTCTACAAAGAGATCATCCAGACGTAACAAAGCCAAAGCGTCCTCCACTTCGAATCCACAGATGAATGCTTTTACGAAGTCTGCCCCTTTTTGGAGATGCGAAATATCTGGTGTTTCTGGTGCCGTTCTAATTTCTACATTTCTAGTCTTCACATTGAAACGTACTTGCAATTTCAGATGTTCAGTGATGGGTGTAAATATTTTTATCCAGTTTTCCTTCAAAGGCGAATATCTGTGTGCTGGTACTGATATCTAGAATCACATTTGTTTAAACTTAAGTTTATATATAAGTTATTTTTCATTATATTTAAAGATAATTTTTATCCTTCTAAAAAATAACTTTGTTAAAAAAAAATTATTTTAAAAAACATGTCTTTTATTTTTTTTCCCATTAGCTGCATTCAGCAGAAAAAGCAGCTTTGCAACTGCTGTAAAATTTTTGAATATGATTGGTTTATACATTTAGAAGAAACCAAAGAAACTAAAGGCGAGACCAATCATATTAAAGAATTTTATAACAGTTGCTACTTTTTCAGTTAAATGCAGCCATTGATTCTTGCATTTAATTCTTCGCTGGATCTAACTGTAGGAACCAATTATATTAAAGAATCACTAAGTACTAACTAATTTTGTGTGCTGAATGCAAGCATTATATATTATATTTTGTTGTACATCATATTACCTTTCTTTGTTCTCCACCTTGTACATTCTTGGCTTTCTTTTTAGCTGAATGCTGTTTTACTTTTCCCTTTATTCCATTAACTATTTCTATCTATAGAACAAGAAATCTTTATTATTTTTATTAGTGAATATTTTATATACAAGTGCATAAGCAAAACATTAACTATCTGTTATGTCATTTAAGTAATTATTTTATAAATATTAAAACAATTGGCAGTGATCAACAAAAAAGCAGTTTTGCACACACATAACTTTTTAATTTTATTATAAAATTTTTCAATGATTGATTCTTATCCTTAATTTTTCATGATTAATCATTAAACTGATGGTTTTGTAGTAACTTTTAAAGCTACCATTACAAAATTATCAGTGATTAGTCACAGCTTAAAAAAATACATTTTTATATTATCACCAGGTGAGATTAAGTCTAAAACCACAAGCAAGTAAGATTAACCACGTGCTAACTAGAAAATGGAAAACCATCTTTTAATAACAATTTATCGTTATTTTTTATCATATATAATAATACATGTACGACATAATATAAAGATACTGACAATGTCATTAATAATTACAGAATACAGACATATAACTGATATAAAATCATTGATAATGTAACTGTGTAACACAGGAACAATTTTATTTCTATGAATGAAAATTTCAGCAATATTACAGCAACGTTGTAATGTTGCTAAAATATTGCTTGAATGTTTCATACTATCCGGAGTATTCGGGTTTGTGTTCTTAACTTTATAATGTAACGATAAAAATAATAATTATAAAATCATAAAACACAATTTTAAAAAGGCTTCTTTTACAAAATATAGTTATTTCTTGATTAAAATAGTCTTCAATTTCAGAATATTGTTTAATACCTCCATCATGCAATCATCGTTGGCTTGACGTTTTTTGGCTGTTTTCTCCATTTCAATCTCTTGCTGATGCTGATCCATACTCATTTCTCCTCTGATTTTCTTTCTTTTCTACTTATATTTAAATATATTTTTCAAGAATAGTCCGTCCTTTCTTGTCGCGTTTATTCTCACGTGGACGGTGGAACCTTAAACATATAAATGGAAGGGAATAAGTCGCTGAACATGAAGCATGAAGCTAACATCTGTGTGAGAGAGAAAGGTAAGAGACAAATGTTCGCAATGCGCATGCGTCTGTTCCTCGTTCTTGCTGTCCATCATCGCCCCTTCCATCATCGCTGCTTCCCGATCTTCCACACGCGATACTTGAACACGAACGGAACTAACGAATGCGCGTTGAAAACATTTATCCCTTACTACTTTTTTCTCTCGAATAGATTTTTGCAGCGCGAGTCATGAGAAGTATAGGCAATGCCCCTTCCATTTATATATATATTCTAAGGGTGGAACGATGATTTTAGAAAAAGGCAGATAAAGATACTTTTACATGGCAGCATCAAGCGTCGAGTATCATGAACTTGCTATTCGTCAATTTTGAGCGCATGATCTATTTTTAGTGAATAGTAAGGGGCTCCACACAATAAAAGGAACAGAGAATAAGAATTTTAACCTATCAGAAACTGTATACAAGTACATGATTTCTGATAGATGAAATTTTTATTCTCTGTTGTCTGTTCCCTGTTGCTTTTATCGTGCAGAGCCCCTAGATTTGTTCGCGTCGCGTGCTTTCAATATGTTGTAATATGCTCCATAACTCTTATTCATTTTAACGCGCTTGATAGAATGAGTAGGAGCTGTGATAGGAACATGTTGGAGCTTGCGACGCGACAAACTTCCTAAGCTCACGATACGCGACGTTCGACGTTTCCATGGGCGTGTTCAAGTCGATAAAACGACTTGGTCTGCTCGCCGAGCAATTAAGCATGGTTGAAACCATAAGTAAGAACCACTCACATTCATTCGCCTAGCCGCTTTGCCGTTTTGAACTTGCCCCATGTAAGGATACCTTAAAGGCGTCCGTACACGAAGATATTCCAAAATTTACTGTCAGTACTGAAAATCTATAGTGCACGTAACGTACCATTTTCAGTGCTGGCAATAAATTTGAAACACAGCCCGTAAGTCCAGATATACAATAGGAATTTAAACCTTAAGCCATAAGAGCCAAATGAACGAATCACAATCAATTATTCTCTTCGCATTCGAGGTAGTTGATCAATTTCTTATGGCTTAAGGCTTAAAACACCTATTGTAGCTATGTTTGGCAAATCTGAAGCGTCAGTTCTCTTTTTTTATAGTGCACGTGACATATAATATAAGAGCACTCCAACACCTCAGATTTGCTGAACGTAACTTGTAGATCCGAATTTAGATGGAGCGAAAATTAAAAGCGGACTGGAACTGTGCGACCAATCACAATCGCAGAAAAAAAAGTAGACTAATGCAGAGTTGTGATTGGTCGCACTGATTCTGTTCCGCTCCATGAGACGACGATCTTATGGTGAGGAATTGATGGAAAGCTCGTGATTGGTCATGGCTTCATTCCGCCGATTCCACCATTTTCTGTTGCGCAAATTTATTTCTTTTGCAGATTCCGCCGATGCTTGTATGTGTACGTGTACTTATAAAAACTAACCTCGTTAAGCTGGTTTAAATGGAGAAAACTGTCTCTTACAAGTGCATGATTAATCAACATGCTAAGAAGTGTTCGAATTCTCATCTGGGTGTTCTCCGGATGTTATATCATTCTTGTTTAATATTTGATAAATAACAAGAATGGAGTGATAGGATTTCAACATAACTCTGAAGGTAATTAATTAAGTCTCCAGAGAAATACGAAGATCAATATAGTCAGAATGTTGTATAATATACAGAAAGGCAAAAATATAAATCAAAATCAAAATGGGTACACAAAATGAAGTCGGAGTCCCTGTATGTGTGATTTCCAATCCGCAAGAATTTAGTTTTTTATGTCCCATGGAGCGAAACTCGCAGATGCGCAATCAATGCAAACCAATAACAAATTCCTGTGGATCTAATGAAACTGATCTACAGGAAGGTTCTTGTGATTGGTCAATGCTACTTGCGCATTCCGGAAATTCCGCGCCATGGGTAGGAAAACACATTTTAGCGGAATGGAATCGACGGAATGAAGCCATGACCAATCACAAGCGTTTCGCCAATTCCGCATCATGAAATCGCATCTTTACAATCGAATGCAAGAAGAATAATTGACTATGATCCCGCATCTACAATAGATTTTTAAGCCTTAAGCCATAAAGAATGGACGAATCACAATTAATTATTCTCCTTGTATTCAACTGTTAATTAATTTCTTATAGCTTAAAACATTTATTATAGATTCGGACTAATTCCTCATTTTCTTATGGCTTAAGACTTAGATCAGTATTCATAGACCTTATATTTAAGATCGTTTTAAGAAGTCACGAACCAATCAAAAGGCTGCATTAATGTCTTAAGACATTACTTAAGACGGTCTTAAAATAAGACTCGACTATGAATACCGCCCTAAGATAAGATCTGATAATAAGATATAAGATCTGACTATGAATACCGGCCTTAGTAATAAACATCCATATTCATAGTTCTTCCTTATTAAAGGTGAAGAAAGCCTCCATGAAAGATTCCTCAATTTTTCAAGGTCTCCTTGTTTCATAAACGAATCTCAAGTCTCATGCCTTCTCAAAGGAAGGAATATTTTATGGATTTTAGTAATCTACTGAGGGTAGCATCACAGTATAACCAGTAAGGATACTCCGTGTCGGCATTTTTTATCTCTGTGTCATAGTCACGTGAGCATCCTTCATGTTAATGTTTGAAAAATCCAGGACCAAAAGAGGATATAATGCCCCATGCCACAGTCCATTGCTTTGGTCTAAAAAACATAATTAAGAATGCCTTGTAAATATATAA